TACAGCGGAACTCGGATTTCTCGAACCCTCATCTTTTCGAACCTCCCGTAAACGCGAACCAAAAGTCGTTTCCCCTCCTCAGTCGAACACTTTAATTTTACCCCCGATTTCTCGAACTATCCGATTTTCCGAACCAATTTTCGTTTCCCTTGGAGGTTCGAAAAATCGGGATTCCACTTTATATAGTAATTTTAGCAAAACTAGACAATGTGTGTTAGTTTTACATTAATGAAAATGTGGTTTGGGTTTTGACGTTTCGAAGTCATTTTCATGATAGCGCAACTTAAAGCAGTGGCGTGATTTTTGTATACTTTTCCTTATATTTCGGTAATGACGTCACGCAGGGATCCTTCGTCGTTTTGACCAGCAAAATTCTTGACTTTTTCAATACCTTCAGAACGACCTTTTACAACAAATTATGTTTGTTTTTTTTTTCAAGACTTAAACAAGATGCACTTCTATTATCTAATGCACTGGCTGGAGTTTGAAACAGAAAAAATATACTCCAACCCTTTTTCCATTTTTCATATATATATTTTTTATTTTCTACACTTTTTCCAGGTCTGGAAAACTAGTTTGCAGATTTCCATACTCTGTACAAACCTTGGCCAGGTTTTCATTAACATAAAAAATCGTTTATTCCACTTTTCTTGCACGACGTACAATGAATTAAGCAGTGGAAGTTACAGCAACAATAGTGCCATGACAACGGTGTTTCTGCGTACAGGATGTTGTATCCAAATTTGAGGTTGGTAGGACTAACGAGATTTAGTTTCGTTTTTTAACAGTAACATAGCAAATGTTTTTTTAAGTCTGATCTTCTGGTTGAGGGTGGTTCTTAAAAGAACTGTTGTTGGTGAGTGACGTTTCGACAACCGAAGCGGAAGTCATCTTTAGAGCCTTGGGATATGGTGGTAAAATAAGGTAGGTATGACCGAAAAAGGACGTCAGCAGAAAATTCCCTTTGAGTAGAATCAATGTTGCACTCGAGTTAGACGGCAAAAACAGTCGTATTTTTTGCGAACGCGAGCGACGGTCAATATTCGAACGAAAGGTCTGGAGCGAGTGTAAAAACGGCGAGGGAGCCTCAAACGCCCTACGGGCGTGTGAGGCTCGCGCGCTTCACATGCGAGAATCGCGCTTACGGCGCTTCGCGCCTTCCGAAAACGTCCGAAAACGACTGTTTTGCAGTCTACCCTCGAGCATGCTCTCATCTTTGGGTTTCGCGTTCATTTCTCAGGCTTGGCTCGCGGCTTCGCCGTTCCCACAAAACACTAAACAAGGAAGCCAACTCGCAGGCTACGTCCAATGGTCGCAGGCACATAACAAATATTTGTAAATTATATTTATGTAGTCAATACGTGATAGAACTGCACACCGCTACTGTAGGAACGACAAAGCTGCCCTTCCTCCTTCAGTTCCTACTGTTTAGTTAGGATTTCAATAATCTTGCACCCAGGCCTCCCACGGCCAAGCGGAAGGCGTCAAAGTGAGTGAGATCTGGGTAGGAGATTAAGATTTCAGTAGAGGACGAGTCAGGTGTGATACGTAAGGCTGTTACACGAAATAACAATACTATTTTTAATCTTTCTTTCTGATTCTGTAATTCTTCGCATTCACATGTTACGTACAATCTTTATACCATGCCAACACCACGGAATTCTCATTGTGTAAATTTATTAATTGTGTCATTTAGGAAACCTTTTCTAAAGCAGCAAAAGTGTACGGCATACCTTTCTCTGACCTCACTGACGGCGTTTTTTCTTATGATAATCGTAAATATTTTCCGTAAATGGACCATTTCTAGAAACTTAATATACTTTACACCGTGTGTTCTTGTCTCGTTACGGGCTCATCTTGCTTTTTTTCGGGAAATAACAATTCAAAGGCGTCGTGAATTTCAGGAATCATATCCGTAGTCGTCATGTTCCGCCGGTACTTCGCGAACGCCAGTCTGTTGCAGGTTCTTGTAAGTGCGCAGGCGCCATAGGCTGCCACCAAGGATCGACCATAAGCGCATGCCCTGTAAGTGGATGAGAAAGAAGACTGTTGTTACAGAGAAAATGTTCACCATCCGGTGCCTTTATAGTACAGGTATTTTTTTTTTTTTTACTAGAAAGATGATTCTTACGCAAAAATTAGCATGCACTGACAAGGGGCTTTGAATGCGGTTTAACTGTCATTTTTTAACTGATGGCTGACATCTAACATCTGTAAAATTAAAGCTACTAATAGCGGAGAAAAGGCCGAAAATTTAGTCTGAAAACTGTGATTCCAGGGCCCCTGTTAGGCACGTTAAGTAAATTAAAATAAAACGTGAAATCCCTACAACACTGAATTCAATTTTCCAAAGAGGATTAACATCTTATTTGTTAACTTAAGGTGGTATGGTACCCTCAATATGGACCAAAAAGTTTGTTTAAATATGGTGAAGAAAGATCAATTGTGTGCTATTGCACTCAAGAAGAGAAATT